AAAAAAAAGAAAAGAAAAAAGAAAAAAAAAAGAAGAAAAAAAAAGAAAAGAAAAAAAAGCAACAACCACAGCAACAGTAGAAATCCCTTTCCTTCATATGCAATCATAGTTTCAAGAATGATAATCCTCTTCTTGCAGGACCAGATCTGTTCTCATGTTCATCCATCTGTTCAACTGAAAGTCTACATGTACTATGGAGCACAGAAAATCCAGGACTTGAAGTACCTTAGGGGTCAGGATATAGTGTTGACTACGTACCCAACTCTTGCTAATGATTTTAGATCTGTAAGTTGAACGCACAAAAACATGTTGACTATGTTTTTCATTGGCTTATCGTGATTAATATTTCAATTGCAATTGCAATTGCAATTGCAATTGCAATTGGAGGCTTACAACATGAACCAGTTGTAAATCAGTATGATACATCCCCACTTATGCAAAAACCTTTTTGGGCCCAAAAACATATATTCAAATCTTGCAATATTTTGATGTTCTACGAAGGTGAAGTTTAACTCTAATGTTTTTTGTTATAATAATTGGTGTTTCTTTTAGCTCTGCACCCCCCCTACCGCCTGTCCCCCCCCAAAAAAAACATATATTAAAAGGAGAGTTAATGCATAAAAAAGGTTTTTTTGGCTCCTTTTTTTCAAAGGTTTTCACCCCTGTGTATCATTATACATGATTACAAAATTATAATTAATGAAAGTCTTAACTTCCGTCTTTTTTTGACTTCTAGAAATTTTCTCCATTGCACAAGATAAAGTGGCTTCGCATTATCTTGGATGAAGGGCACATGATTCGAAACAAGAGAACTGCACTATCCAAAGCTGCTCTCGACCTTGAAGCAGAGAGGCGATGGGTAATTACTGGTACTCCTATACAAAACAGGATAGAAGACCTGAAGACAATCATCCTATATTTGAGGCTGGAACCGTTCAATGATAAGAATTGGTGGAAAAAATCTATTGAAAATCTACGCAACAAGAGAAGCGAGTTAGCAGATTTGTAAGTTACATGCATGTACATTTGCTTTTTTGATGTTTTTTTAAATGAATTTTTTAACGTGTGAGCGATTTAGTTTCATTGCCAAATAAAGTTTTCTGGTAGTGTAGTTTGATCAATATCTGAAACACCAAGATTTCAAATTATTTGAAAACCTAACTCCTCAACTTTATCTTTATGATCTAATTATTTACGTTTGCCCCCTTTGGCATCCCATAAGTCAATATTGCCACCGTATCAGTAGAAAAGGTCTATTGATTGAGTCAGGCCACTATAGCAAGTGCTGCATTGGAAAGTAACCTCCATGGTATGATTGAGTGTGACAGCGACTGATTCTTTTATTTATTCCATCAACAGCCGTCTTAATACCCTGATCAAACACGTGTCAATCAGACGTCTGAAGGACGAAAAAGTGGACAATTCCAAACTAGTTGAGCTTCCCCCAAAACAAGTGGTCATCCAAGATATTGAATTGTCTAGTGAGGAACGAAAACTGTATGATATGATGCAGCTGGATGGTCAGTCTATCATAAGAAGGTACAGAGATAAACTCTTTTCATCAGTGAGAATATAGATACAGTATATGCATTATGGAGGTTTCACAATCAACGAGTCTCATTTGTAAAGGGAGAATGCATGGTCTGTAATGGGACAAGATTACCCCAAACTTCCCCTTGATTCAAGGGGTTTTTGCTTTTCCTCCTTTCGCAAAACCTAACAAGCTAAATTACAATAGAGATTTCCGATTTAGCGGATTATAGGCGGAATAGGCATATACTAACGGAATAGGTACATCGTGTAGCTGATGCGTTGTGAATTCAGTCAAACCGTTAAATAGGTGCCGTAAACTAAATCAAACTAACTTCTGAATCGTCTTTGTATTTATATAGGGTATTTTTTTTCCCGATTTCT